GCCTTAGTTTTTTGTGACAATCAGGCAGCAATACATCTTGCAACCAATCCCGTCTTTCATGAACGGACAAAACACATTGAGTTGGACTGTCATTTCGTTCGTGATCGAGTCCAAGATGGTTTCCTGCGTTTGCTTCCGGTTCGGTCTGCTGCACAACTTGCTGATGGTTTTACAAAACCTCTTTCTTCTGTAATTTTTCGATCTCTTATGTCCAAGATGGCCTTGTTAATATTCACTGCCCATCTTTAGGGGGAGTATTAGAGGTTTATATAGGTTTATATTGTTTATTTAGCAAGTTTGTTAATTGGGAGTTATTCTGTTATTGTTGTATTATTTAAATACACTTCTCATGTACAGATATTTTGTGAGATGAATGAGAATAGATTTTTTACAACTAAAAACAACCTCACGGTTGGAGATATATGTCGTCAATTATCTATGCTCACTTTGATAAGATAGTAACAAATACTTGACATAGCCTCAAGATCTCTCTCATTAAGATACGATGTGACTGATTCAATGGTTGTCACTCGATGAGATGATCAATATTCCTCACAGCTGAGCAATGTGCATTCTCAAAGTATCTTTATCCATATGTGTCTTTTTTTACAACTCATTATTTTTTTAAAACATTTTTTGTTTTTACATTTTTCTCTCTTAGTTGTCAAATATTTAATGATGGTAAGGACAAGATCTCCCTTACTAATGCGGAGCCAAGTATTTTCTTTTGACAACTAAGAGAGACAAAAACAAAAACATAAATATTTTTTAGAAAATGACGAGTTGTTAGGAAAAATTTTATTCATAACTTTTAACCCTACATTATAATTTTGACCAATTAAGCTTGTTTACAAAATCAAAATATTCAAACAGTAAAAACAAGTCAATGGAAAAATAGTATAGATTTTTTCTTTCTACTACATAGTCGGGATGAGAGACTCGTGAATTCATGACTTTTTGGTAAGAGATAGAGGCTAATGACATATACCACAGATACTTAGTAAAAGTTTCTAGGACGTTGGACACCAAGCTTCTATTATTGATTTGGAAGCAAACATGGATAATAGTTCATACTATTAAAAAATTGATGGTTAATTATTATTATTATTATTATTATTTTAAAGAAAGAGAAAAATGATCTCTTCTTCCCCAGCCAATTGTAAAAAATATAAAGGTGGTAAAATAGTAGATATTTACTCATTGTTAAATACTTAAGTATTATTATTACTACTTTTTTTAGTACAAAATGTAAGAGTCGAAGATCGAACTCATAATCTCGGAGATGTGTGTCAATTATTGCAATTATTTTCATAACATTATTCCAAAAATAAAAAAATAATGCTTACTTCCCAACTTGTCAATAGGAATTATTGTCAACCACCCCTATTTGACAAGTATTATACAATAATGTAGAAAGAGAAAGAATTGAGAAACTTCTTTTTTTCCAAAAGAAAGATAGGTATACAATTTTTTTAGTGGTAGTCAAAAATTGAACCGATAGCAAGGAGGTATGGTCGGAAAATAGAATAGGAAAAAAAGAACAACTAAATCCAAATAAATATCATTAAATTGAAAGAGAAAAATGGAGCTGCTGGAGATCACAGAACTTATTTTTAATTAATACTTCAAATTCTTTATTGAATTTATTCTTTAAATATAAGACTGTTCATCGAAATTTATAATTTTAGTGAACTTACCTGAAATTAAACATCCTCACCGGCGTTTGTATGGGTTTTGAGATGGTCCAGAAACTGATCGATTAAGCTGTCTTCCTTCTGTTTGTTGACAAACAAATCCTTCATCTCTTTGATTTTGTCTCTGTAAATCTGACCTTCCTCCTTCAGCATCACCAGCTTCAGCGACTCGGCCACGGAATCCCTGCTGAACCATCCGTCCCGCTCATCTCTGGGAACGGAATAAGCCATCTTCTTCTCCTCCAAAACTCTCGCATTGATCCCCTGGTCCGCCAAGAACGTCACCAATATCAGTCCTATTTCCCACTCGAT